GAAGTGTCTGACTTCTTCTGGCCGTTAGTGACTCAGCAAGAGTGCCCTGGATGCGCTATATTTGAGTATAATTTCCATAATGAAATGAAATGAAATGACCGGAATTATCTTGGGACCCAACTACAAATCTGCCATAGCATTAGAACACGAATGGTGATACATTAATAGGACAGTCTGGTCACGCACCGGTTCTTGCTGCCTTCGAGTTTCCAAAAGTAGCATCCATTCACTGGCAATAATGAGGTCCTTGCTACGGCCCGCAGAAGGCCCTTGCATATGCCGTTTCGTGTTATTCCACAGCCAGTCTTAGCATAATGTTTCGAATTCACTGGAACACGCCTCCTCTCTAATCTCGTCTTTTCTTTCTCTCTTCCTGAACCTTCATTCCTAATTTTCTTGTCTTTTCACGCGTTTTGCAAACAGCTTGATGGGTACGGTGTGATGATGCACATTCCGCAACTTCGCCCTTGGCGGTCACTCCTCATCTGTGTTGTTTGGTCTCTCCCTTGCTTCCAGGTCCTGGCGATCGACCTTGATCTCCAGAATGCTGGTGAGTTTCAAGGACCTTGACCAGATGTTGAACCTTTGTCGGAGGCTAATAAATTTGTTTGGTGTCAATTAGACAGCATCAAGAGCGTCGCAAGCGACCTCGCCTGGGACCTAGTCAGCTTCTATACGGGCAACAACACCGGCGATGTTCCCGGAAACCTTCCAGATCCATACTACTGGTGGGAGGCGGGGGCCTTCTTTGGCACCCTGGTCAATTACTGGGCCTACACCGGAGACACCACATATAACGAACTGACCGCGCAAGCCATCCTCCACCAGGTCGGTCCCAACCAAGACTTCATGCCCGCCAACCAGACGCGCACGGAGGGAAATGATGACCAGGCGTTTTGGGCGTTCGCTGCCCTGCGTGCCGCCGAGCGAAACTTCCCCAATCCGCCAGCCGATCAACCGTCGTGGTTAGCTCTCGCACAGGCCGTGTTCAATGAGCAAGCGCAGCGATGGAATACGCAGAAGTGTGGAGGAGGATTAAAATGGCAGATTTACACGTTCAACAGCGGTTACACGTACCGGAATTCAATCTCGAACGGGTGTTTCTTCAACATGGCGGCTCGACTCGCACGATATACGGGCAACGCTACGTATGCGGACTGGGCAAATAAGGTCTGGGATTGGGTGACGGACGTAGGACTGATTGGGCCGGAGTACCATGTGTTCGACGGGACGAGCGAGGAGAACAACTGCACTGACCTGAATCATATTGAGTGGACTTATAACAACGGGGTGTTCCTGCTAGGGGCAGCACACATGTGGAACTATGTGAGTTGAAGACCTGCTTGCTGCACAGGATATACAACTGACGGGACTGCAGACCAACGGTGACGAGAAGTGGCGCGAACGAGTCAACGGCCTTCTCCAGGCGCAGAACAGCTTCCTCTCTACGAACGAGAGCTCCAAGAACGTCCTTTACGAGGCCGCATGCGAAACGGTGGGGACCTGCCAAACAGACCAATTCTCGTTCAAGGCCTATTTGGTACGATGGATGGCTGACACTGCCCGACTGGCTCCCTTCACCTACGAAACCATTATGGCACGCCTGCAACCGACAGCCAAGGCAGCCGCCGCCCAATGTGTGGGAGGTAAGACAGGGACATACTGTGGGATGCAATGGACCACGGGAACCTATGATGGCACAGTGGGCGTGGGACAGCAAATGGCCGCCTTAGAGGTGGTCCAGGCCAACCTCCTGCAGGCCAACCCTGGTCCACTCACTCATACCACGGGAGGATCCAGCCAGGGGAACAGCGCCGCAGGGACACAAACGTCAGATTCGTCCCGAGATCCCAGTGAACTGCGCCCGATTACCACGTCGGATCGAATTGGGGCAGGGGTAGTCACCGGAGTCACGGCATGCTTGGTGCTTGGGGTCACGGCTTTCATGGTGTCATAGGAAAGGCAGAATGTGACTGGTCAATGACTGTCAATTCAACAGCACAACCATGTATGAGGCCCTGCATAAATATCAATTACATAAGAAAGTTTCTTCTCCTCACCGCCATGATTATCCAGATTCCGATTGGTGGTTGGCTGAGATAAGCAAGGCCCCGATAAGACGCCCAGGCTAGTCCCTGTACAGTAAAAGATACGCCGGGTCGGTCGTGCGGGCCAATCAGGAGCCCCTTTGACGAAGCGGAGGCCAATACATTCCCAAAAGGGAAGATATGGCAACTCCGCCTGTGTCTCCAATCGGGGTAATCAGGGCAATCTGGGCGGGGAGGAAAAAGTTATATAGCAGCGACCTTCTGCTGTCCCTTGTTCCTCCCTTCAACTTCAGCAGTGTCGAGAATATTTGGCAGATCCCCAGATATAGACACCATGGCAGTTTCACCACACCCTTTCGACTCCATCAGCCCGGCGGAAATCGTCCTGGCCACCAAAATTCTGGCGGCGGCTTTCCCCGGGGTCCCTCTACGGTACAAGAAGATTGATATCCAGGAACCCATCAAGTGTGAAGTGGTTCCGTTTATTGAAGCAGAACGGCTGGGCAAGCCCCTGCCCGCAAAGCCCACTCGGTTGCTGCTGGTTCTTTTTCACCGCATGGACACCATGGCCTTCTGCAAGGCATTGTTGAATGCCGACACCCGATCAGTAATCTCGGCCAAGGAACTGCCCAAGCATGTTCAGGTATGGCTTATGGCGTTCATCGACGTTACCTCACAATGTCTCTGACCACAACAGGGACCTGGTGATCCAGACGAACTAGGAGAGGTCGAGCAACTCTGTCTCTCTCACCCCGCCGTGCAGGCCGAGGTGGCCAAATTGAAGCTGCCTCCGGGTGTCACCGTCTGCAATGACCCCTGGATCTATGGCACTGATGATCCCAATGAGACGCGTCGCTTGTTCCAGTGCTACATGTACATTGTTGCCACAGACCATCCCGAGAACAACCACTACTCTGTACCTTGCAAGTTCTCCCCTGTCTTCGACGTTCACAAGCGCGAGCTGGTCCGTATGGACTACCTGCCAGGTGGAGTTGATATGCAAACCACCGAAACGCAACCCTGGAAGCCGGTTGAGACCATCCAATACGCGCATGACCTGCTGCAGGAACCCTTGCGCACTGATCTCAAGCCTTATATCGTCCAACAGCCCCAGGGCCCATCATTCAATATCGACGGAAGTGTGGTCTCGTGGCAGAAGTGGAGATTCCGCGTTGGTTTCAATAGCCGTGAGGGTCTCGTTATCTACAATCTCACTTATGATAAGCGGAATGTCTTCTACAGATTGTCCATGTCGGAGATGACTGTGCCGTACGGTGGTAAGTCTAGAGCTATACTATTTCATCTTAAGCTGCCCCCAGCAACCAGCCCCATACTGATGATGCGCTATAGATCCTCGTGCACCTTATCACCGCAAGCAGGCATTTGATGTGGGAGACGTAGGCTTTGGTGTCACAGCAAACCAACTCTCCCTGGGCTGCGACTGTCTAGGCCACATCAAGTACTTTGATGGCTACCGGGCTGATTCAAAGGGAAACCCCGTTTTGCTGAAGAATGTCATCTGTCTTCATGAGCAAGATAACGGTCTGCAGCACAAACATACTAACTACCGCAATAACGCCGCTACAGTCGTCCGCAACCGCCAATTAGTAGTGCAGATGATCTGTACTGTTGCAAACTATGAATACATCTTCGCCTTCATCTTCGACCAAGCCGCTAACATTGAGCTCGAGGTCAGAGCCACCGGTATCCTCTCTACCGTCCCCTTTGACAACGAGAAGCCTGGTACTACCGTTCTCTGGGGCACTAATGTCGGCCCTGGCGTCATGGCGCCTTTCCACCAGCACATGTTCTCTTTCCGGATGGACCCGGCCTTGGACGGATTTAAAAACACTGTCTACTACGAAGATAGCGTGCCACTGCCGGAGGATAAAAACAACCCCTACCTGGTGGGATACACGACCGAGCAGACAGTGCTCCGTACCAGCGGCACAGCAAACACCGACATCAGCCGCCACCGCGTGTTCAAAATCCGTAATGACACCCACATTAACCCTATCACCTACAAGCCCATAGCATACAAGCTTCAGACTTCGCCCAGTCAGATGCTTCTCTCAAGCCCGAAATCATACGGCGCCAAGCGTGCCGGCTTCGCGACCAAGCCCATCTGGATTACGAAGTACCGAGACGACGAGCTGTATGCGGCGGGCGAATTCACCAACCAGAGCCGGGAGAGCGAGGGCGTTGAGAAGTGGGTGCAGCGGAAAGACCCTGTTGAGAACGAGGATATTGTGTTGTGGCATAGTAAGTGATCCTTCTACTATTGTGTATTGCCGGTCGGCAGCAGGGCTAGAACTAACACATGACAGCCTTCGGCCTGACGCATAACCCGCGCATTGAAGACTTCCCCGTCATGCCCGTCGAGCGCGTCAGCGTCATGCTAAAGCCCGACGGATTCTTCATCAAGAATCCCGCATTGGACGTGCCGCCTTCGACGCAGTCATTCAACAAGTCGACGTTGCACCCGGAGCCAGCAGCCACGTGCTGTGCTCCTGCGGAGAGGATGGGAAAGTTGTAGATGGATGACCGATTCATGAGAGATGACGATCTATGACAATACCTTTCTGATGCTCTTGTTTATAACGAGTACCCAGTAGAATACTGAATTTACGCTCATCATGTTTAAAACAAAGCACAAAGCGGGAGTCCACTCCATAAGTAGTGACTATGACACCAATTCCCCCAAGGTCCCTCCACCGTCACACTACCTCCACTTAGCCCTATATACATACCATACTGATGCTATCTTCACGTATACTCCATCCCCAACACCAAACTTGCATCATTGAACCCCCACGCACCTCAACTTTCCCGCAAGAGACCGGTCGGGTTTCTCGGGGATCACTCCGGTCGGCTATTCATCATGACTAAGCAAGGGACTGAGCAGCTATAAATCCGCCTCTATCTTGAGTTTATCTCCTTCCATCAACTTCCATTTACCCCCGCAACCCCTCATAGTCAAGAACAAGATCAAGACTTTCTCTCAAAATGTGCATGAAAGTGAACTGCTCGAACTGCAGTATGTTGCACGTCCCTTCAACCGCATATCGCCACCAAGTCATGATACTAATGAATGCATTCAGACAAAGCCACCTGGTGGGGCTGCGGCGCGCATATCCCCTCCGTTCTGGACTCGGTTCCGGAGAGTGAGCGCTGCACTTGTGCGCCCAAGGTGGTGCGCGATGGAAAGGAGTACCCGCCTAAGGCGGAGAAATGACTATCTGCGGGGTGTGTTGTTTGTTAGGTAGATTGAGAGGGGGGTTGGTGATGATATTATGGGATGTTGATGGGGCTAATCTATGTTTATCTTGGGATAGGACCGAGTGGTAGTGGGTGCTAGATACGGATTATGATTCATACAATGTACTAAACTTTCTTCTCTGTTTTGGTGTGTGGTGGTGGAGTTAGTTGATTTGATGAGATAGATGTCGTCATGAAGTACGTGTGTTGAACTGGGACATGTAGGTCGTTGCCGATGCGTGCTGATGTTAATCCTTTGATAAATGGGGCCAGCTTTCGGAATTTGTATAGACCAGGAGTAGAAGCATGCCCGGCAAGGTTGTGTGTATGCCTTACATGTTTGTTGTCTCAGGAGAGAGGATATCGGGGTTTGGTTATATTAGTTGGGTTGGAAACACATAAGAGATAGGACGAAAATGGGAAAATTAAGCTGAGCATAATTTAAAAGCATGAGAGTAGTGAATGATCAAAAGAACAACTAGAGAAAAGCAAAGGATAGAATAAAATATAATAAGATTTGTTGTTGGACTTGATGCGGACCGACGAAAAGGTCTGCAATGCCTCATATGCGGAGGCGCAAAAAAGGAATGACAAGAGTGGGATTCGAACCCACGCCATCTTACGATGATCAGGAAGCTGTGAAGCTGGGTATTAAGGTAGACCTTAACCTGACGCCTTGGACCAACTCGGCCATCTTGCCTTGGATGGAAAATATTATATATTTTGTGCTATATCAATATAGCCACCCATGACACCTGATCGGCCGTCTACCTTCCACTTGATGCAGGCCTGGAACTCATCAGCGGTGGAATTATCACACACTGAGCATTGCATGTTTCAATTTCCTGTAAATTATATCACTATTCTTACCTTCTTGCTCATGTGCGGCCTATTTTACAACCAATGACATGGCGGTTTTATTCACAATTAGTACTACTCTGATATATATTTATCAATTCCTATACAGTAAGCACTAGTTCGTAATGAGAAAGCCAGGGATGATAGCCACCACTCCAAAAACCAAATGGACCCGATCGGAGAACTCCGTGATCGGGGGAACATGAAAACAACTAGCAATGGATCAAGCAGGAGCCACTTTAATTCGGTGGCTGCATTGTATATCCAAGCCACCTGCTGTCCACAAATCAGTTCGGCGCTTCTTCTTCATCTTTCGCCTTCTCCAATTCCTTCAATTCTCCCTTCTCCTCAGCACTCCGCCTCTCCCTCGGACTATCAACCAGCTCATTATTTTGCATAATAAAGGTCGACACCGCAGCGGCAACCAGAACCGACATGGCAAGGGAAAACACTCCACGTGCGGCACGGAGATAGATGAAGATTGCGGTCTGCTTCTCCAAACCACTCAGCAGGTCGAGCCGATTGTAGTTGTGCGAGATTCGATCAGCCAAACCAGGCTGGCCTCGAAAAAGAGATCGGAGGGAATTGACTGACAAGTTCTGAAAGATAGCAGCGGAGATGGTCTGACCTATGGTGGTGCCAGTGTTGCGGACAGTGAAGGAACAGGATTGCACCACGGCGAGATGTTGCTTATCGACCGAGGTGAGGAGACCCATGAGTCTGGTCACGTACGCCCCGCCGGACCCGGCACCGTAAATGCCGAGATAAACGAAAGGCGCCCAAGAAGGAGTTGTCTGGGTCATGGTACAGAGCATGACAGCGCCCAGGACGGAGCAGGCTTGGACGGGGAAGTTGATGTAGTAGTACTTGGCTGTGACCTTGACGAAGAGCCCAGCGGCGAAAGATCCAAGAGCAAAGCAGAGAGCCAGGGGAATTAATCGTAGGCCGCTCTGGCCTGGGGAGTGGCCAAGAACCTCCAGGTACACGGGCACGTAGTACATTATGCTAGTGTTGCCGAAGTTGGAGAAGAATGAGCTCAGTTGCGACGCAGCCACAGTGCGTTGTAGTAGGGCTCGAACTGGGATATGAGGGTTCTCGGCTTTATAAAATTCCCAGAAGAGAAATGCCAGGAATCCTACCGCGGCAAGGATTAAAGAGGTTAGCACCGCTGCGCTGTTCCAGGCAAAAACCGAACCACCAGCATTCATGCCGAACTGAAAGAGGATAATGACGACAAGAAGCGCGACCATGCCGACGTAGTCAACTGGGCGTCTGATAGGACGGCTTTTACCCTGAGGGATGTTGAGATAGAATGCCACCATCGCGATGTCGAGAATGATGAAGGGCACTTGGATACGGAATGCCCATTTCCATCCAATGGCGTTGGCGACGCCACCCCCGTAGACGCCACCCAGGGCCAATGTAACACCATAGGTAATGTTGCCAATGCCTTCAATCAGCGCCCGTTTTCTCATGGAAACTAGATCGGTTTCGACAAAAGCAGTGATGGTGCCGATGCAGCCTGCACCAAGACCCTGAATGATCCGTCCAAGCAAGAAGACTGACAAACGGGGCGCCAGTCCGCACAGAAGCTGTCCTACGGCTAAGACTGAGAGACAAAGTACAAGGCCATATCGTCGGCCCAACAGGTTGGTCAGTTGTCCGCTGAACGGCTGCGAGATGGAGAGACCTATGGGGTATGTGGTAGCGACCCAGGAATACGATGAAAAAGCATCGTATTCATCACATATATCCTCAATAATTGTGGCAAGCATGGTTGAGTCTATGCTTTGTCAGAAACATGCATGTTCGCCAGCAAGTTGCGCGAAAAAGAAGATTTTGTACTTACCTAACGCACTGAGCAAGACCCCAACCTGATGACACGAGTTTCAAAATCAGTGGGTAGATCTTTTGTTCATCATGGCGTGTACAGAAACTGCTTACCCAGAGACCTAACAGAACCAATACTAGGCGAGCAGTCGATGGCTCTGGGTCCGCATCATCGGTGCTGTTTTCGGTCTCACAAACCGCAGTATCTGGGGAAGGTTCCATCACCGTCACAAGCTCTATTGAGTCCTGATCATGACCCCTATCTTCTCTGCTGGTGCTCTGTGTATAAGCCATGGTGGAAGGACGATCAAGGGTGGGGTACAAAGGGCAAGTGATGGTGACGGTTGAATGAATAGATACAAGACAAAATTCAACGCATTAAGTGCGTGATATACTCACTGATGCTTGGGGACCTTTAGGACCGCATCTGACTCACAGTCGACCAGGGTCCGGGGCTTGACCACTAGAAAAAAAGATACTAAAGTGGAGCCTAATAAGAGAATCTTTTTATGTAAAATAATGTCATATACCCCTGTCGTGTACATTGACAAAAAAAGCTATATTCCGAGAGAAACTACTTTGTATATAGTCTTTTGCCGGTTTACCCGGAGTCTGAACCCATGTGTACGCCCTATGCAGAACACTTATAAAATGCGTACGAAGAGGACCTTTTCACTATGAAAAGGTTATATGGTGAAAGACCTGGATAATACACCAAGTGCAGTATGAGCCTGCACATCGCACTTACCAAGCTTTAGGAAGTACTAATTTGTAGCCAGGCTTCCTCTATTCAATTGTTGTGATTGACCAGAAGTGTCCTGGTTTGTTTCCAAAACCTGGAAACAAAGACCTGAAAATCAGACAAGAATACAAGATATTACATCAGGGATAGTTGTCATACTAGTCAGTGCTTGTTTCAGGGAGCACTACATGTCTGCTCGACTCATTGGTTGAGAGATGCAGGGATTCATAGACCTTCTTGACTAGGTATAGTGCTGCTGTGCCCCTCATTCCTTCTTTGGGTAGAGGTGGATGCTAAACACGGTCAAACAAAGACCAAGGAAAGCTTAACAAGGCTTAGAAAGAAGTAAGCAACTTCTGCTCCACTCTTTACCTGGAGTCCGACGGATGGTCCGATGCTGTGGGCGCGCCTGGATTATTGTGTGCTTTTGGGCTGCGCTGATGTGGACTGCAAGGGTTGGCCCTTAGTGTGCTTACGGAATGTGGGTTGATCCAAAGTGAGTCACTGGCATAATCTTTTTGAACAAATCTCAGTTGTTGACATGGTAAATTCCCTGTCGTAGCCAAGGGAGCTTGCTGCTAAGGCTGTTAGAGAGTCGTTTGAGAAAGGTGAATATCATCCGGTTCTCCCACGGTAACAGTTCCGGGATGCGCACCCGTCTGCTCAATAAGTCGTAAGAATTATAAACCCGAGGCACAGTTTGCCAAAAAAAAAAAAAAATATACGGTTAGTATATCGATCAATTAATGCTATTGATTGGGTATCGTCATCATTCTGGGCGACTATTTTACCATTCAGATGGAATCGCATGCCTGGAAGTCCGCGCCCTAAATGTTCTGGAAAATTTTGGGCGGTAAGCGGCTATTAATCTGTGGCTATTCATCTGTTGGATCTAAAAAGTTGCATTCGATTGAGTCGTCCTAAACGAATTTACTCCAGATACAGACTATGATATTTAGCTACGTTTAACTGCCTCGCGTAGAGGCTAAAGTCGTGAAAGGACCGCACCGAGAGGCTTTGCTACCATCTGGCCCAAAATTTCAGAAATATGGGTTCATGCTCTCAGCCAAATATGGTGGTAGCTCCGCGCAACCTCAGTTTAAAGCAAAACACAAAGCTTAGTGAAAGAGTTCATTGGGGCATGGCTTTAGCTCACACGACTTTGTTTTCCCGTCAAGCAAGCTTGTTTGGTCCCTAAATTGGACATAATTTGGGGTAGTACTTCATGTGGAGAATACCGAAGCCAGAGAGATATACGTTTTTCATTTTATTATTAACAGATATTGAAGGAATATCCTTTGACGATCTCTTGGCCCTATCGTGACAAGATTGATAATATTATTATCTGCCGATAACGGGCGGGGTCGCTTACTCAGCCACCGTTTGGTGGGGAAATTGACTTGTCCCAGCATGGATTCCGGCTGCTTCATTCTCTCCATCGTCAAGTCCAGCGAAAAGGTTGCAGCAACTCCATGATCATAGGCTAATATTTCAGGGAGGAAGATTGACGTCGGTGGGAGCTTCCAGTCAGAGAGAATGGACCATTCCCAGCGTCCCAAGCGGACCAGTAATGCGTAAGGCCATCTCTTTCCCCGGATCTTGAGACTACTAGTAGTTCATGCCCACTAACCCCACCAGCTGTCAACGCTGTCGCTCACGCAAGGTCAAATGTTCTGGCACCCATCCCTGCGACAAGTGCTGTCAGCGTCGTGAAGATTGTGTCTTCGAGGATGATCGCAAGATTGTAGTGTCTGAAGAGTGAGAATCATGATCGCTGTGGCTCAAGGAAAGGTTCTAATATGTCTAGGCTATTTCTGTCCCTCAAGCGAAAAGTGGAGGCTTTGGAAGGAAGCGGTGACTCTTCCCCAGTGGTCAAACGCCGGCGAGCCTTGACGACTGACAGTACAAATGAATCCAGTTATGGTGAGGGAGAGATCGTTTCATGCGCTGCATATCCTCATCTAATCAGTGCAGAGCGAGCATCGGAGTTGCCCCGAGAGCCATCACTCGATCCAACTGAGTCCCATCGAA